AGAAGGAGGTACTGGATAGAGAGACCGGGATGGTTTTTAATGTGAAGACAACAACAACAACAACACAACANGCTGCCCTACTGCGGGAACAGCTGTCTCTTGACAGAGCCCTCTGCAGCGCTCCCACTGTTGAGTGTGTGGGCGAGGCTACCATGTCCCGCCTACGTATTCGCGAACGAATCGAGCGCAAAAAACGTGCTTCGGTCATGCTTCGATGCCGTAATCTATTCGAAGTCTACACCGATCTATGGTTCGTGTACAACATCGCTTTCATCTACGCGATGGCCCGCCTGGAACTCGACGACACGCCCACGAGTATCGCACGTAGGGACGCGACAGCATTCTTCAGCCCACAGGACTGCGTCAACTTTCTACGTTTCACGCAATCGCAAGTGAGTGCATGTCGCAGCTAAATATTATATGGTTGTTGTGGCTTGGACATGTGTACTCCGGTNACGCCCACGAGTATCGCACGTAGGGACGTGACAGCATTCTTCAGCCCACATGACTGCGTCAACTTGATACGTTTCACGCAATCGCAAGTGAGTGCATGTCGCAGCTAAAAGGTATCGTTGCTGTGGCTTGGACATGTGTACTCCGGCTATCAGCAGCAGCAGCAGCAGGGTGTCAGTATGTCGTTCAACAGCAGCAGCAGTAGATATGTCAGCATCCCGTGGGTCGCGGGGGGTTAGCCGTTCTGGGTGCGTCAAGCCACTGTGCTATGTTAGATCCACAAGCCAACGGAGAGGTGGTGTGCACTGGAATAACAAGTAACACATCGTTCTTTGCTTTCCTGTGTGGTGTCACGTGATGCAGGTTATGCTGATGCTGGATCTGCTGTTGATCCCCGCGTTCATTCGAACTGACTGTGGGTTCGTGGTAAGCGGACGTGAGGCTCTGTGCGTGGTCCTGTATCGGCTCGCTTTCCCATGCCGCCTGAAGGACATGCGCTTGGTTTTCGGGATGAGCGAATCGTGTATCTGCGAAGCCTTCAACTGGGTGCTGCATTTTTATAGACTTCAGGTGGGGGTATCTGCTGTCCCTCGTCGTGGCACGCCCNTTCCCATGCCGCCTGAAGGACATGCGCTTGGTTTTCGGGCTGAGCGAATCGTGTATCTGCGAAGCCTTCAACTGGATGCTGCATTTTCTAGACTTCAGGTGGGGGTATCTGCTGTCCCTCGACGTGGCACGCCTGCAGCCGCACCTGATCGAGTTTGCGGAAGCAATCTTCAACTCCGGCTGTCCTCTCACTCACTGTTGGGGATTTATCGATGGCACCGTGCGTGGCATTGCAAGGTGAAGTCCGACTTAACGGATTCTGGCGTTTTGGTACATACCGCAGACAGAAGTTGCGTGATTCCCCCCGCGGATTGCTGTTCCCGCCGCGTATCCAACGCAGCATCAGCAGGCCATCTTGTACGTTCCTCGAGTTTTGCGACGCACTCTCTTAGACCACATGTTCATCTGTGAGGAACTGTCGTGTGGTTGCCCATGCACATGATTGATTGCGATTTACCACGAGGTTGCCACATGCGATGAAGTTCTAGCAGAATGATGAAATACAGCAGCACTGTTGGGTTNGCACTGACTGTTGGGACTGTTGGGTGTATGTCTTGACCTGTGTTGTTGGTGGCCCATCCTTCCGTACGCCCAAAACTGATTCGCAGGCCCAAGTACTGGCAGCGACTGTTCTACAATGGGCACAAGAGGAAGCACGCAATGAAGTTCCAAGGGGTAATTACACCAGACGGGCTATTTGTGGATCTGTGGGGCCCCGTGGCGGGGACACGCCATGACAGCTTTATTCTAGCGCAGTCTGGGTTGATGGAGAAGTTGTCGATGCTAAACAGCCCTACAGGCCATCCGTACTGTTTGTACGGAGATCCGACGTATGGACTGAGCAACCACGTTGTCTGTCCTTTTAGCGCANTTGATGGAGAAGTTGTCGATGCTAAACAGCCCTACAGGCCATCCGTACTGTTTGTACGGAGATCCGGCGTATGGGCTGAGCAACCACCTTGTCTGTCCTTTTAGCGCGTCAAGTGTCGGCCCTCTAACGCCAGAGATGGCCGACTTCAACAAGCGTATGAGCCACTGCCGCGTAACGGTGGAGTGGGGATTCAAAGAGATGACCGGCAAGTGGGCCTTTGTGAGCATGAAGCCGCAGCAGAAATTCTTGCTAAGCCCTGTCGCCAAGCAGTACCGGGTAGCCACTCTGCTTTCTAACTGGCACTCATGCATGAACGGGGGCAACGAGATTTCGCAATACGTTGGCGCGGTGCCACCCACTTTCGAGGAGTACGTAGCGATGTAAATGCAAGATGCACCCACGTTGTGTGAGAATTCTAGGCCTCTTCGGTGTTCCCGGCGTAAACCTAGACAAATAGCCGCTTGCTGGCGTGAGCAAGTCGCGCATGATAGACTTTCCAATTTTAGGTGAGTTTCGAATGATCAGCGCCAAGATTATTTTTTCTCCTTGGTCGTTTAGGTGGGCAAACGCGGGCGATGCAGAGGGCAAGCACGGACGGCGTATGTATATCGTGCGGGCGTATAAGCATTGCGTAACAATCGGATGCCGCGGTTTTTGGGGACAGTTAGTTTGGAGGGTTTTAACAGTTAAATTCTTGGGAGGTAAATTGTTTGGTGCGAAGAAGTCGTCTCCTCCTTGCTGGTCATTGATTATGTGGGCAAACGCGAGCGGATGCATAGGGGAAGTACGGAATGTATCGTGCGGCTGCGCAAAAGACAGACGCCACTTGTTGGATGCCAACTTCATTTTTCAATTGTTCCTCCTGATAAAGGACTCTCCCGAACAAGCAAGCTTCCCCCGAAATAAACGCGCAAGGCGCAACGGATGCCACGATATTTTTTTGAAGAGCCTGCTGTTGAAAAAAAAAACAACAGATGGAACGCATGCCCTAGCAACTGGAACAGCAGCAAGGGCGAAAACCCATTCCCATTTTTCCCTACCCCGAACAGGCCAGCCCCCCCGAAAAACACGCGCAAGGCGCAACGGATGCCGCGATATTTTTTTGAAGAGCCTGCTGTTGAAAAAAACAAAAACACATGGAACGCATGCCCTGGCAACTGCAGCAGCAGCAAGGGCGAAAACCCATTCCCATTTTTCCCTACCCCGAACAGGCCAGCCCCCCCGAAAAACACGCGCAAGGCGCAACGGATGCCGCGATATTTTTTTGAAGAGCCTGCTGTTGAAAAAAACAAAAACACATGGAACGCATGCCCTGGCAACTGCAGCAGCAGCAAGGGCGAAAACCTTTTCCCATTTTTCCCTACCCCGAACAGACAAGCCCCCCAGCAAAAAACACGCAAGGCGCAACGGACGCCACGATATTTTTTGAAGAGCCTGTTGTTGAAAAAAAAAAAAAAACATGCAACGCATGCCCTAGCAACTGCAGCAACAGCAACCCCAACCAGCTAGCTAGTTATTGTTGCCCTTCGCCTTCGCCAGGTCTACCTGGAGTTGCATCATCCTGATTTGGTGATCACGATCTGCCTTTTGCTCTGCCCGTGCAGCCGCCCTCTCCACTTCACGCTCTTGTCTGTCGTGTTTCCTTTCATCTTCCCGCATTGCCCTCTCGTGGGCCATCATGTCCAGGAGCTCTTGCCTCCTCCCTACTTCTCGTTTAGCTTCCGCCGCCCGCCTCCTCTCGTCCTCTCCACGTTTCTGATCGGCGAGTGCCCGAGCGTCAGCCACCTGTCGCTCCATGAAGCTGGGACACGTGGGCGCAAGAGAGGCACCAGGGTAGGTAAGCACCTCCCTGATGGAGTAGCCAACAATAATACTGCGATGACACTTCTCTGGTACAGGTTACGTCCACCAAAATGATCTAACAATAATGCACAGCGTCTACTACACGAAGGAGTTGCCAGAACCAAGACATGGGCAGAGTCAACGAACAGCCTTACCTATCTAGCCCATCCTCGGCGAGCTTATTGGTCTTGGCACGGGGCTTCCTTCCACGGTTTCCCGAAGGTCCACTCGCCCCCCCTGAAGCGTGGCTGCCTGACATGGCGTGCGCACCCCCCACTCTTGCAGAACCGGGCCTGGATGTCTGACCGGCGGCGGACAGCCAGGAGTTCGTCACGCCGGCGCCGAGCACCAACAACGAAGCCACCCGCTTCGTAACCTGAAGCACCTTGTCCGGCGTAACACGATCTATCGGCCATCCGCCGTGAAACCAATTCGCATCCGGCAGGCTGTGGAAGTCCATTTTTTCCACGCCGTAGAGCTCGAGCAGTTTAAACATGACCGACTCGTCAAACCCATCAAACCCGGGCAGCTCACAATCCTCTTCACCAAGACGATCCATGTACTGCTGGACGCTGTCTCCGTCGCGCTGGATACAAAGCCTTGCGTCGAGTAGTACCACCATCATGGCCACGGCCCTTTCCGGCTGAACTTCGTCGGGCGTGAAGCCCGTGTTGAGGAAGTAGTCCGCCTCCTCCGTGGTGACCCCGGCACTTTCCGCAAGCATCGGAATGGTCAGCGACCCCATGTGCTTCACCAAGTCGCCAAGCGGTGGAACCTTCCTCGATGGCCCGCTCCCCGCGGGCGAGAAGTCGTCGTCTAGCCCGCCCGTACTCATGGTCGGGCTCGATCGACCGCTGGCAGCGCCACCCGCCGAAGCCTCCGACGCGGGCCTCGCCCCCCCGATGCTGCTGGCCGGACTCACCCGACCGCTGGCACGGCCACCGGCCGCTGCACCGGAGCGGGAACCCAACGCGATGTTGTCGGCGGCAACAGCTTCTTCGAATGATGTAACCTTCGCGCTCGGCCCGCATCGGGCGTTGCCCTGGTTGATGGCCCACATCCCCATCGCGGAGTGCGAGGCCGCCTGGTCGGCTTTCTTCTGCTTGGTCTCCTCCGAGTCATGCCTCGCGGCAGCCTTCGCGTCCACTATCGCGGTCAGAACTTTGTCCTGTGCGGCACATCGCGGACAAGAAGCAACAGCGGCGCGGCATCTCGTCAGCTCTACGACTTACAAAGTGCATCACTAGCGTCGGCGATAGCTATATGCATCATCTGTTTTGTGTCAACACTGCTACGTCACGCCCCTAAACAATACAGAGTGGGAGTAAAAACCTGGACGCTGTTTTGATTTTGTGGGTGAAGGACTGTCTCAGCAAGCTAATTCTCTGCACGTTTTGCGTCGCCTGGCGTGTGGCACTCGGGCTTTCGTGCTGTCTATCTACTTCTGTCTTTCTTTTGTCATGCTGCGCATTTTCAGTTGCTTACGGCTAGCCCTGTGCGTACCCCTCTTATCTGCAAGTGTAACGTTGGTGACAACGGCAGGCATTTTCTTCGGTCGGGACAGCGCAGGTGTTTCACGATACTCGATGGATTTGTGGATTCTTCATGTGCAGATATTCGTGCCCGTCTTGTTTAGACTGTGCCATGATCGTGNCCACTCTCAGCAGTGACGGCTCCGGAGTCCCGCAGGGCTTTACCATCGCTCTTGCTCTGGTCGTCAACGATCTTGTCGTAGCGCGACTTGCAATTTTTGGACGTCTTATCCTTGAACATCCTGACCAAGGGCTCCTGGTTGAGAGTCTTCCAGCAGGTGTCCCACCTTTCGCCGACCGAACGCCTGCTCCCATTCACTTTCCACACTTCGTTCTGCAGACCTGTAGAGGACAAGGGTGGGAGCGCCGTTGAATGTCGTAGTGAGGACTTGCTTCGGCTTCATTTTTCACACCAGATACATGTGCGTTTTGAGTAGAGGAGGGAGCATAGGTCTCGCCACTAAACGAGTCCGTGAACACCGGCCGTCTTGCAGCGCACGGAATGGCTATTGCGCAGAGCGTCAACTGCACCGGGTCCGCGGTGCTTCGCAGTAGTTGTTTCGACATTATTTCGGGTAGACTGCATCTACTGTGGCTACAGCGGGATGCAGGATAAGCAACGCTGTGGGTAACCCCTTTTAACATGATGCAACATGATGTGCCACGGGTAGACTGCATCTCCTGTGGGACGCAGCAGCGGATCCGCGCCCACCATAATAGTCCGGCTATGTGCCGTTGTGTAGCGAAAAAATACTACATAGTCGAGTACACCGTGCGCTTACAATTATGTGCGCACCTTTGTTCTGCTGGTTCCATCTGAAGGCGACATCTGACATTCTTTGCAAGTAGACTGCATCTACTGGGAGATGCAGCGGCTTCGTACGCCCAAAAACTCGTCGCTGCTTTTAAATTTTAAACATGATGCCACATGTGATGTGCATTTTTTCCACGTCGGAACCAGTGCAAGAAAGTCTCACCTACTTCGCCAAGCAAAACTTGTATCTCCCCTACGAACACCGAATATAGCTTTGGGTTCCTACCCTACTCCGCTGCTATTCGATTGAATCTTTCGTATATGTTGTGCACTCGTTGCACCCTCATTGCCAAGGATCAACAATCTGGTTCGGAGTGGCTGTCTCTTTTACAGTTCAAAAACAGCGTGCATGTGTGCGCGCGCACATGGGTCGCTCCCTCAACTCCAGCAAAGGAAACAACTAACTCCAGCACAGGAAATCGCACCAGTACGGAGACAGCAAGTACGTATACCACTGCTGTGGCCGGCTGCTCCTGCAGTGCTGTGTCGCGTTCGGAGCGTATGGGGGTGGGGTTTGGGGAGGGAACACATCCAAGCCAACAAACGCCTCTCTCTAGAAAAACAGAGCATACCCTTGCGCGGGGAAAGACTCACCCGCCCTTGCCAGCGCCAAGTCATAAGTAGGTGGCCACTTCGTGCTCTTCCTAACCCTAGCCTGCTTTGCTGCTGGTGCCGCCACGACTTGGACATCGTCGCCGCCTCCCCCGGCCGCTTGCTCCTCTCCTCCCCCTGCCTCGAGGTCTCGGGCGTGCTGCTGGCCTAGAGCCGCAAACCCCACCCGACCGGCTGCCCGTGCCGCCTCCCTCTTGGCAACCTCGTCGCGCGCCAGATCCAGGGCCTTTGCGCTGGGCATTGTCTTTCTCTTTGGGCGGGTGCTGGACATGTTCGTAGCAGATTGCTGTGTGTGCGTGTGGGTCTGATGTGGTGGTTATGGCTGGTGTGGGTGTGTTGTTTCGAAGAAGTTGCTTAAATAGTTTTCTTGCCAAAATTTTCCATAAAACGAGCCGCGCTCGGCTGTTCAATCGAAATATTTTTTCCTTGTTTCTGGTTCTGGCGAGACTGTCAGGAACGATCCTCAGAACGATGGCTTAACTCAAAATATATTTCCTTATTTCAGCTTTTTTTGGGGTCCGAAACTGTCAAATATCACACAACAAATCCATCTTTATCTATAGAAATAAGCCTAAGATAGATTAGCAATGAATCAATAGCGTGAGCGAAACGCTACCTGTACATCTACGGTTTCCCAGACAGCATACAACGATATCTCCCCTGTGGGTAACAGGCTCAACAAGACAGTTTGGCAGCCATCTTGTGTATCTATGTGTATGTTATGCTGGGAAGTTGTAGACGGAAGATTTAGGGGAACTCGGTTTGTCGGGTGTTATACTATGGCACCCTTATGTGTTTGCGGAGCACGCGCGTCTCGGGGTGTGTATATTTTCGTCATTTTTTGAAAAATTTTGAGCGGGCGTGGATGCGCGCGAACAACACCACATACACGGACAACACACGGCGGTGGGGTTGACGCGTGTGCTCTCTCGAGATCAAACTAGACCTGCGACCACCTCACTGCTGACCGGCGCCACAAATCATGGCCGATTGCGCCGAAGAAGCGCAGAACGCGCCTACGCTTCCCACTCTTGACGAGCTGAGCGGCCCTACGATGACGAGCTGAGCAGGGAGGATGACGATGAGATCATCCGCGATGGATGAAGGCAGATGTATTTAGAATCAACACGAAAAAAAAACGTCGTTTGAAACAACGCAACACCACCCGAAAGGCACTGCCCCCGCCCGCGACCCTTCCTCCCCTGCACGAGGTCGAAGAAGTATGGCGCAGCACGTGTACAAGCCAGAGCTACTGATGGCGCAGTAGCGGTAGAAAGAGCTGCAGTACCGCCGGCGGTACAGCCTTTGCGCCGTGACACAACGAATGTAGGCGATGACGAAAGAAACGCCGAAGTTGATCGATGATGGCAGGCATATATTGTTATATTCAACACGAAAAAAAAGGGAAATGGACACAAGTGGGTATACCCACGCCATTCTCGGACAAAAGTGGGTACTCGAACATCCAGCGGGCGCGCACTCCATAGGCGGCCCCCAAACGACTCAAAACCCCATTCTGACACCTGGGCGACACAGCCAGGGACCATGCACAGCACGGGCATCGAGTTTTTCCCACTTTCAGGCACACCTTCGGCCCTAATGCCGCCGACGCGCGCAAGGCCTCAACAGAGTGCCCACTTCTGTCCGACATCGCAGTGGGTACACCCACCGGCGTCAACTACTTTTTTCATGTCCCCACTTGTGTCTATATTTTGACCCACATTTGTCCAAATTTTACCCACTTGTGTCCACATACGGATGGCGGAAATCGAGCGGAAATTGACCTCCACGTCACCGCACGGCAGAACATCGAATAGCCTCGGAACGTCTCAGAACCTCCCAACCCCTTATCCATGGCATCTTTCGTATCCATGACTGCCGACTGCGGACCGACCGCGGAGGAACATATCAGACACATGCCAGGCCCCTTCGGTACCGGCACGGGAGGATATCAGGCACGGGAAGATGCCGGCAGTAAGCCCGGCAAGCAGCACACTAACAGCACACGCCACAAATGAAATGCGTGACACACAACGGACAACAAAACCAACGGGTCGAACTAACGGGTCGCGCACCCAGAACGATAAGACGCGCATAGAGCAAACAACACTCACACACACGAAAGCATCAACCGCCACCAAGACGAGTGCACACCGACTCGTCACGGCAGCAGTAGGATGTCGAGGCAGTTTGCTCTGCAGGGCGCCCGCTCAGGGTCAAGCGGGGGTGCACCTCTGTCAACTGCTGGCGGGGCCATGGTTGAAGGGGCAACTTTTGCGACGTCACGTGCCTTCAAACACGCATTCGAGCGCTGCAGGATCGCACAGTCTAGGCAAATGAAATGTCCTGGTTTATGGGTATGGTGCCGCGATTTTTACTCCCCCCATCCCCTCCCCCCCGGTGTTTGCCATCGGGATTGGGTTTCGTCGCTTGGCA